ATGCGTGCATGGATTGAGCAGCCCAAACGAAACGGATGTCAGTGTTGCTCTACCTTGGTAAATGTGGTAACTCGATTGAAGATGCTGTGATGACGAGCAATTTGTCTACCAGTCCAGGAGGGTAGAAACTCAGTATATGCTGGTGGTGGCAGCAGCTGATGAGTCCAATCCACAATGCGCCATGCGGGCGGTACGCATGAATCCTTTACTGGTTTGAGAATTGTATAACCTGATAAGACACCAAGTAACAAAGCCTCAATATTTCTTCGAAGAACCATGGCTCACAGTCGAAGTGTTTCTGCCCAAATCAATTTAGTCTCCATCTATGTGAATAAAACCAAAAATAAAAGAATAATGAAGAGACCTATCAAGAATGCTATCATCATGATTTGGCCCTTGGCGCCCGCCTTTTCATCACCTTAGCAACTTTTTTCTGCAAAGAAAAATATTCTCTTTCGGTATGGTTTTGGAGATATTTATGAAAGCCCAGATCAATCTTCAAATAAACCACGAGCTCATGGGAAAATGAAAGCAAGACATATCACGAATAAAGTCGATCTTAGTTGAATCAAATCTTAAATTGGAACAATGTACATAATGAATAAAACAATCCTGTTCCTAAGGTTACACTAAGCTGAACAACAATTTTGCTTTTGAAAAAAACAATAATAAAAAGAGGGGGAGGAGCGGAAACGAACCTGGACGAAGTCAAGCCTGTTTGAAGTAGTCTCCATTTCCATGCCGAATTCATCCAATAATTTTCCCTGCAGCAGCAGAAAGTCTTACACACTGAATATGAAATTTAACTCTTCACTAAGGAGCTCTGTTATGTCTTGTAAACCAGAGACTAGTTTGCATGGTTATGAAGATGATAGGATATTTGACCCCAATGAAAGTATCTTTATAGTGAGGAATTCACATGGCCATGCTGTTAATAAATCTAAAGGATCCAGCAATGACCAAAAAACATCTTACTGAATATTATTGAACATTAAACACCAAGAAGGATGTGTATGTATCGAACATTATACACCAAGATAATGTATAACAAAGTTCTTGAGACCAGATCCAACCAGAATCATTTACAAGTCGGAAGACATAATGTTTTCCATTTTCCACAATATTGGAGCAGAACTTTTTAGGAAAAGAGAACTTATTGTTCATTACATAGAGGAAGGCAAAATAACTCCTGATTCTCTATTATGCAAGAACACTATACTCAAAATGTGCAACACCATTGGATCTTGTTAGTTTGACAGGAGTCTTTTTTCCTATCAGTCAACTAATCATTGCAGGACATTTTTAGGCATTTTGTTGTTGAACATACCTGCCCAACAAGTTCATCATGTATAGTAAGTCCTACATCTCCAATTCTCCGAACACTAGCACTAAGCTCATCCAGCTCCTCATCTTGTTTCCTGAAGTAAGATTTAGGAAATAAAAGAGGTGTCAACAAAATGCAATCTTTTATGTAACCTAATCTACACTTATTGTACCTAAATTTTTTTTTAATAATAAACTTGAATAAGGAGGTTCTTTGTTATAGAGAAGATGGATTTTTCCTTCACAGTTCGTGGTGTCAATAAATATCACAGCTCCAGTAAGAAACTAGAGTTTGTATCCAAGGACCAAAGACTCGTGGAAGCTTTAAAAGAATACAAACTTCATATAATTTATAAAACACTGGTCCTACTACTTACACTGCCCCTCTCATATCCTAGAAAGCATTGATAAAACCAACAAAATAGAGCATGGCCAATGAGTGCCAGAACAAGAAATTTAAAGTTATCAACTTGGTTGACCACCAACTATGAACTGACCAATAGGAAAACTGATCGCAGATCCCAAATCTGCTGCAGAAGATGCATCCTAAACTTTTATACCTCATTCACTACTATAACAAAAAACAGAAAATGAAAAAAGACAAAGAATTACTTTATCAGGAGCAGCTGCTGATCTGATTCTGAAGAGATAAAATCCTCATTATCTTGGTTAATGTAATTGTTTGATCTGCCTGCCTGAGAAGCATGATCATTCGGAAGCCCCATCAGCTCTTTACGCACACCATTTGTACCTAAGCTGAATGAATTCTGCTTCTCCTTTCCTGCTTCTACAGTTTTCCTAATATTACCCACCTACATTACTGCTGAAATGATCAGAAATTATGAAGAAAATGGAAACAAATAAAAATATGTAATGGTTGTGCTTCTTGATAGGGAAAATAATGGCGCCGTTGACGCGCCGTGACGACAGCCCCCGGCCAAGGCAATAACGCTGACTAGACCCGCCCTGACGACTCCCGCTGTTGAGAGGCGACCTCCGACCCCGCATGGTTGACCACGACCAGGCCGGACAATGACCTGCCCCTCGCCCATACCCTGCTACGAACCGCTCCACCACGCGACCCCAGCAGCCGCGTCAGACGCCATCAGAGGTACCCCCTCACCCCAGCAGGCGGTCGAATCAGGTAATGCTAACCTCCTCTATAAATACCCCTAAGTCCTAAGCAAAAGGGAAAAGACTCTCAACATACTGAATACTCGGAGGTTTCTTCTCCTCCTAAAACCCCCTCCGCACCTTTCGCTAACTTGATCGTCGGAGGGGTCGGGTCGAGCACCCCGACCCGGCCTTGGTGCAGGTGAGAAGCCTTCGGGGTCCATCGCCTACGGAGACTCAGCGGGCTCAAGGAGACTCCCCCTCCTTTGACCACCACCTTCCGGACCCGAACCAAGCCGCGACGATCTCAGGGCCACGGCTGAACAGTTACTGACCGTAACACTTCTGAATATGCATGTCTCCACAAGCTCAAGCACAGGACAAGGTGTTACCTATATTATAAGCAAAAAATTTAAACCAATCCAAGACGTAAAAAAAATGATAATAAAGAAATAGTTCCAAACTTTACTTTAAGCTTTACCTGATAACGTGCAGTGCTAGTCCATCTCCTGCGCTTTTCAAGTTCAACTTCATCAAGACCATACCATGCAGGATCTCTCACAGCAACTGCAATTGCCATATCCAATTCATCCACCTTTCCATTAAGAGAATGATCAAGTTCAACAAAAGAGTTCAACCATCAGAGACAACCAGGAAAGAAAGTTTTGTTAGATTTGATAGAGTCCAGAAGCATCTGACTTCCATCAACATTAGAGAAAGCTAAAAAAATCTATCAAATTTCTTAACATGAAAGCATAGAGACACAAGCAGCAAAATCTTTCAATTTTTTACAGCCCTCCAGTTTAGTTGATTATATGAAACTTATACAAATCTCTTAAGTTGTACATATTGGTCCTTAGGTTAAATCTGAAGGAATATTGCAAGTATATTCCACCAACAGTTTTAGATCATTAACAACACACATATAACAGAAAAATTTTACTCTTCATTTTTTTTTGCTTCCTTTGTACTCCATATAAGTTTTCCCTTAATGATATCTTTTGCTATGTCATAAGCCAACTTTTGTTAGCTGTTGGGCTAAAAAGGTCTTCATTTTGATCATAGTTTGAGAAAAATGGATGGAAGGGGATAACTTGCAGGATGGAAGAAAAAACTTAGCGACTTTCATATAAATAATGAGAATAAGGGACCCATATGTGAAATTAAAGCATTAGGGAGACTATTATGCTGAAATTACCTTCACTAAAAGGTATCTTTCAGTTCAGTGCACTTGCTTCTCTACTCTCACAAGTTTTACCACGATGAACATTTTGAGATGATGGAGATTTCTTAAAACATAACAAGAAACACATAACATGAATCACTTGTATTTGCTTAAAGTAAAACCTGCCACTCTACGCTCTCACAGCTGACAACAAGCTGTTTTGTAAGGTGTACACTCTCTCGGTGTTTGAAGGGGTTTGTTCCCATTGTTGAAAAGTAACTTGCAGTTTGTTAATCTGCAACCAGAAAAAAAAAAAAAAAAACAGCAGATGAAATCATAAACAGATATGACTGCCTTTAGAATATGAGAAATCCGCTAGACAGAGTTCTCGTTTGATTTGGAAAATAATAAAGTTATGCCCACTTGCATAGGAACATCAAACAAACTGTCCAATTTCTCAGAATGCACAGGTTTTGGACAAATGCCTTGATCGATCATCGAATTGCTTGCTAAAGAAAAATGACCAATTCTCTTGGTCACGAATTCGCAAATGATCAGGGGACAGTGACTTACGGACTCTTGAATCTCCTCTTTAACAACATAGAATGGATCCTGAGCAGGTGTCATCTCAGCGCATTCCTCGAGAGAGATCGATCGGCACCTCTGTTCAGAGACCAACTGCTGCAGCCAAAGAGCAAACAAAGATCGACGGCATCATAATTAACAGTATAAAACGAACAAGAAACCAACCAAACCCAGATCCATGGTCTACGAGAAAGGGCACAAGACACGAGGCTCCGGCAACGAGATAGCGGTTGGGTCGGCCGGATCGAAGCGCACAAAGACGCGGATGGCACGGAATAGGGGAAGGACGACGGAGATCAAGATCGGAGGAAGGAAGAGAAATGCCGGGCGAAGGAGTACCTGAAGCGGCACCAAAAAGAACGGTTGTGGCCGGGAGGAGAATTGGTTGGTCGGGGAAGAGCAAAGAGAACAGAGGATTGTCGGGTCGAGGTCGAACTGGTTTAGGCATACACAACGTGACATCAAACAGAAGAAGATAGAGTGCCATGTCATTATTATTATTATTATTATTATTATTGTTATTATTATTATTATTATTGTTTTGCCCTTTAGGCCAAAAAAAAAAGCGATGCAAATAAAACAATTGAGTTCATTCAATTGTCATATTTATTAATATAGCTATTAAAACATGATTATTAGCTTAGCCATCAGAGCACCAAATCCAATAGATAATGTTCGGAATTGATATTTTAGCAATAGTGAACGAACATACTTATTCTTTCAAAGGGATAAAAAAAAACTAAAGAATTGAACCCAAAATCAAATCATAGCAACAGGTAATGAAGTGATTGATACACTTTCTTAAGGCTGAAAGTGGACTACCGAAACAATTCATTTATAAAGATATCGATAAATTTGGGAAGACAATGCAAACTGCATGCTTACCAATCACGAATATTAACCTTACGAGAGTCCCACAAAGGATGACAAAACATTTCAACTAATTAGATGTTACACTAACAGAACTCATTTTGTTGCATTAACACCAACATCATATCAAAAATTGTTCGGGGTCGGAAACATCGGTCTCGCCGCTCCATAAGTGTCTGCCCTCGAGGTACATACCATGGGATGATGCTTGATGTGAAGGGCATGCAGGAAACCAAGGGAACTTGAGCTTTTATACATGTGCCTTTTGTCTCTCACCCAATTCCTCATCCTGCTCAACCTGTGTAATCCAAAAGTATTATTAAGTTACAGCAGTTGAAATTCTCATCAGTTATAATGTTCTTCGAAAAGATAGAAAAGGCAAAAAGGAGGTGAAAGAAAAAAAAAATACAGAGGGAGGAAGGAAAAGACGGAAAGGGATTGAGTGCTGCAAATTACATATTTTAGAAAGAAAAAAAAATCTCAATGGATCTATTGTTGTTGTAATGAGACTATTCTACTTGCAAAAGGAGGAGAAGGATTTTAATCAGTTACAGAGAATAAGGCACAGTACCTCAATGATTACCCTCCCCTTTCTTTTTGACTTTTTCCCAGAATCACCACCTTCTATCTTTCTAGCTTCAGATGCAGATGCTTTTCGTATTTTCTTGGCAGGGTGTTGATCTAATGGTTCTATTTCTTCATTTTCTTCATCCATTTCATCTGCACCAAATTAGCATATTTAGCAGAAACTTCACATCCCAAGATGATAAGATCGACTAACTGGGAGCGGAACTGTGATCCACTTGAGTTCAGAGCCGGACATTATTGAAATTTTTAATGGAACCACTAGTATAGTGTTGTCACTATTGTATCGAACTTCTATGGTTATTGCATTAATCAGACAACAACAAAAAAGAAATGTAAATAATAAATGCCTTGGGTCAAAAATCTATACCATAATCATCATCCATCAAAGATTCATTTTTCACGAAACCACCAAAATCTTCCATGTCCTCTTCTTCCTCGAGTCCATCATAACCTTCAACATATTCTACTTCTGGCTCCTGGTAAAATGAGAACAAGTACAAGTTACTATAAACAGCCAAAGAAACAGAAGATGAGCCAGAAATTGACTCTAAATCATACTTCTTCATCTTCTTCCTCAGCACTTGGTTGTAGGCCTTCCATTTCCAGGACATTGTTATATGCCTGAACAGGATAGTTATATATATCACCATAAACACCTTTCTTGAGACGCTCCAGCAGCTCATTCTCGATACTCTGCATAACACTTACAACAAGTCATACGTGCTGATGCTGACAACAGGACTATAAAATAATTAACAAAAGAAGAAATGTAACAAACCTTATCAAGAATTGCAGCTTTTTCAGCTTTTTCCTCCCTCCTTGCCTCTCTTTTTTTCTCTTTTCTAGGCACAGTAATTATCTTCTCCCTGTATCAAACAAAAGCTTCCCAGTTTTTAAAGATTGTTTGCTGGTTCCCATTTTTATAAAGACCAAATATTGTTGAAAAAAGAGACATCCCTTGCCTCCAACACAAAGGACAAAAAAAAGATGTGGATTCAAAATATGTTTGTTGCCCAAAGGCCAAAACATGGAATTATAAAAAAAATTGTCTAATACCCTACACCTACACTGTCGTTCTTTATTGACACATGCTTTACCTCTATGAGGACAAGACAAGGAGAGTTTTGATATTATCGAGTCTCCAGCTACTCTAAAAGGATACTCGATCCATGAAACTCCCACCGAAGCAAGGTTTGGGGAGGATCAACATATGGAGCCTTGATTTTAAATACAGAGATGCTATTTTCGTGTCTGAAACCCTGATCTCCAGCTACTCTACATGTAACATATTGAAACTACGGAATGACTGAAATAAATACGTACCTCACTTTCAGTTCTAGCTTCCTCATGCGTATTCGATACTGAGTCATTTTGGTTAAGCGCTGCTTGATTTTGTGCACAAGTAATTTAGGCCAGTACTCCTGCCAAAACCAAAAGGATGATGCATCTAGTGCTTCCAAAAGTTAAAAGTCAGGTTAGCTTGTCATTAAGAATATCAAGTACCAGATGCTTGCCAATAGTTTCTAGTGCCTTCTCATAATTTCTAGGAAGTTTAACTCTTTCCCACAATTCATTTGGTTTATGAGCCCTTTCAATTGTTTTCATATACAAGTAAAACACTCCTGCACAAGACAGCAAGTCAGGATAAAAAGTACCAAAGCATTTTCAGGAGTAGAACTAGAAAAATATATAAAATTATTAAGGAACAAGAAATAAGTGATATCAGTTCTATTAAAGCTAGACTATAAAACTAGAACTGATACATTCTAAAACCCATTCAAGCTAGCTCAGATGCACATCAACAAGGTCAACTTCAGAAAGGGGCATGGGAGATGGGGAACTTATCCGGTTTCATTTCAGAAAGTACATGAAGGTAAAATACGTCAATCCTCAATTATAAATTCACTAACTGTATGGAAATTTTAAAAGAAGACAAATGCTTCAGTACACTAATTTCTTTACAACCACCCAATTAAACTAATCCAATTATTAGCAATCCAGATAATACTTATTGAAGACCACAATGACCTAGTTCCATAAGGAAGCTTAAACATATAAATTATAAAAAAAAAATATTATCTTTCAACAGTAATTTCCATTATGGATTTGACTCTTATCTTCTTCATCGATGTCTACCTTTGCCAGTTAAATCGCATGCCAGTTTTTGTTACAAATTTCAATTATGCATATAAGAAGCAAGTTTATGTTAAAATTAATCATAACAAAAGGCTGCCCCAAACTTATGATCTTGAGATACCAAATCCTTCTGTGAAACAAATTCTTTATTTCTTCCTTGATTCAAATGCAGCCTCTAAATAACAAACAAAAAATTAAAAAAAAGGTAGGCAGTAACAATGTCAATGTCCTCATTCTGTAATCAAATTTTAGACCAGAATGAAAACTTACAACTCCAGCATATAGATCATAGTCTTCAAAAACTTTACATAGTTTTATCACACGTCCATCTTCTTCGATTAATAGATGTTAGACAAACGAAAAAATAAGTGTGAAGCAGAAACCAATCAACGCCACACATAAATTTCCTACCAGCAGTCCAAATAGCAAGACATTTTAGGGGCTAAATTCGAAACAAGGTACCGTCATGATCACGAATCGTGGCGTATCGACTGTTGGCGAGCGGGCAAGAGCTGCGGTTGCAGATTCCGGTAACATTGTACGGGTTTCTACAGAAAATCCCCGTGGTGATTCTACACAACACCAACCAACAAGTATTAGAGACCCATTAAAAATCACTCGGATTGATGGTCTCCGACAAACGAGAGGGGCGAAGGCCTTGGGAAGTACTTGGCCATGTAGCTGCAGTGGTTGTGCCTGATGACCTGCCATATCACGTCGTCGTGCTGCATCGCTGACGAGGGAGTTCGTCGAGGGGGGGTTTTCGATCCTTTTGCCGGCCCCTTTCTGGGGTTAGGGTTACAGGGGAGTTTAAAGAGTGTTAGGGGACGGCGGAGGACAGGGAACCGCGAACCACGTTTATGTGCATGTTTACAAATAGATCCTTCATAAATATGTAA